AGCGAGCAAGCGGCGTGGTGGGGGCAGGGCGCGCTGGCGCCCGGGCGTGAGAGGAAACAACGTCCTGTCAGCTAAAACAGGCGTCTTTGCACCCTTTAATTTCCCTCGCTGTTGGGTTTAACCCTGTGTCTCTCCTTTGTTTGCCTGTCCAGAGCTCGTCTTGGGTTTGCCAAGCAAGTCCAAGGGCCCTGGTCCCACTCTTGAAGGAGCTACACGGCCAGGGTCCAGGGTGTATAACGGCACATTCAGGACTCGAGATGGGAATTGTCTGCTCTGGCACTAGAGTGACCTATTAAGGGTAAAGCTTATTTAAATAGGACGCAGCTTTCCTGTGGACTGGTCCAAGAATGTGGAATGAATTCCCCAGGAGCGATGGACAATCATAAATCTCTTGTTCCGATGCAAGGCATGTTCTTTGGCGTTGGCCTGCTCCAATGTAAATATGTAACTTCAGTAACACAAAAACTTAAAAGGACCAATAGAGATACTCATATTCCTCCCTAGGGAGAGGCACCATAGCAGTGCAAGTGGTGCTTTTTCCATTAAGTTTGTATTTGTTGGGCAGACTTTCATAGGATAGTTTTTTCCTTGTTTCTTTTAACTGGATGTAAAAACAGCTTTTTGTTTTTCTGATTTTGGTATAAAAAGTTCTTCGTAGTAGGGCTGAATTGGTTCTAGTGTCTTGTAACAGTGCAGGTTAGGGTTATTCCAAGTTAACTAATTTTTAGAGAAAAATCACCCCAGCTTCTCCTTTTGTGAAAGGATCACTCCAAGGCAGAGCTTGGAGTGCAGAGCATTGCAGCCACCTGTAATAATAATCCTGTATTTATTTTACAGAATAATAAATAATTCCTATTTCTAATTTTTTCTTCCTGTTTCACATGTCACATTGCTTACTAGTTTGTTACCAAGTAGCATTTAAAGTGTTGGCTTTATAATACTCCTTGGAGTCACACAGTAGGGTGTTTATGCATGATGTTACCAGTTCCATCTAGCTAATGTACAATTCACTCTTGACACCTGGCTTGTTAATTTTGATAACATTCTTTTTCAAGCTGTGTATGACCTCAGTAGCCTGTTTTCCTATTTAGTTTCACTGGCCTAAACAAAGCACTGCTGCCTAGAAATTATACCCAGGCAAGCAAAACAAAAAACATCAGATGGTGCCAGAACATTACTAGTCCTACCATTTACAGCTTTAGTTGGATTGGAGCTTTATTATCTCAGATCACTACTTTCACTGTATTATACCACAAGAGTTGGAACCATTCAAAGAGCCTGTGCAACAAATCTCTCAGCTTAACTGTGAAGGGGCTCTCTCTGGCAGGGCATTCCCAATGAGCAATTTGTAGCAGAAAAGCTTTCTATTTATCTTGGTTTGCCAGAGGGTGAATTTGTTGAGCTTCAGTGTACGCTGAAAATCTTACTTGTTCTTTGTTTTCTTTGACTTTGTTGAGGGGAAATGTGCCAAAGACTTGTCTGTGCTAGAAAAGGCTAGTTCAGTTTTAGCTAGTTCAGTTTAACTAAGCCTTGATGAGCCTCTAGAGTAGTTGGAGCAGTTGTGTTAACAGGTGTTGAAGGGGAATTCCTCTCCAGACTTATTTTAAAAATATACTGAGGATATTTTCTTTAGGTGATTAAGCAGCGATTAGAGAATCATTGATTAAAAAAAACATAGAAATTGAAATAACAGGCTATAATTTCATGGGCATTTTTCAGCATTCAAGATGCAGTATCTCATCGTTTAATGTACTTTCTTACTATGCCACGATGATGCATCTTTTGTGTATATCAGATTATTTCAGTACGTATTGAGCATTTTTGTGAGGGTGTTGCTGAGAGGATTAGACTTAATGAGCTATGTCCTTCTAATAAAGATTCTGGGTGCCCGTTATAACAAACATTTTAGTTAATTAAAAAAAAACACTGAAATCAGCCACAGCTGTGATATAACCTGTCTTTCTGTACTTTGTATGTTACATCATCATCACTAATTTTGCATAAAAAATTATTTGAAATAGGAGTTAGTAAGTTACTTCCTATTTTCTTTGCTTTATAATGTTCCTTTGTATCCAGTTTGGAACAATTATAAAGAGCTGTTGTTTTCTATAGTTATGAACAGTTTTATTGTGATGTTCTCCATATTTTACAAAATTTAAATTAGACTAGTATGTCACCCTCTTTAACATTAAGTAGGGTACTTCCTGCCATCTAAGAGAATTACCTACTATAAGGATCAACAGACCTGGGTAGAAAGCAACAGCTGTTACCTTGTGCTGCCTTTGTTTTATGCACTGTTCCTTTTGTTGCAAATCTTGCCCAGCATCAATCTTGCCACATAGAGGTCTCAAATAAATTATGTTGCTACAGTGTCCCGCAGGGTCCCAGCCAAGACACAGATTTCCTGACCAGCTGTGGTGTTTATCCCGTAGAGTGGCCTCTGGAGTGTTCAGACTGTCCCGGTGGGAATGTTGGGGGAAGCCTCAGATCTGCCCAGTCCTTACTGTGTTTTCCAGGACATTCAGACTTGCATCCTACTTTTTTCATGTCTTTCTTAAGCTTGCCATAAGTTGCATCTGTTGTTTGGCCACTACAGTCTAGTTCTGTATGGTTTCTGGCCAAGATAAAGGCATGCCCATTTAAAATACATTTTGGAGAAGGACCAGTGTTGGGGAGACTGAGAAGAAAGAGTATACTGAACGAAAGTCTGATATTTTAGAGGAAAATATTCCTGAAATTATAACTTTGAAGAACCTCAGTGATGAAGTTGTATGGCTTGTGGGTTTTCTTAAGGGTGTCGGGGCGTGTGACTGACAGCAGTGAAAGTAGCTCTGCAATTATATCCCCCCCCCCCCCCCCCCCGCCCCAAGAATGGGCTAACAGTTTCATGTTGTGTTTCTTATCCTATCAGGTCATTGTGTCAACTACTGATGCTGCAATCATCATAATTAAGAAATTCTGTTTTAGCCTGTTGGTGGATGATTCTTGTTCTGCTTGTTGGTAGCAAGTAATGTCTTTTATTTGTACCTTTAGGAAGAAATCTCCATCTGATTTCTTATGGGTGACAAATGCACTAATAAATCAAGATCAAGTAGAAGATGAAGACTTCTGTGCCATCTTCAGTGTCCTCCTGCTGTCCTGTAAAGAAGATATTTTCTAGTCTATCTATGCATATGCCAAATACACTAAGAATAGAAACAAAAAGCAGAGCCTAAACATTTTATTTTATTTCTTCAGAATTAAGTTTGTTTTAGGGGGTTGTGTACAGGAGGATAGATGGGAGAGAATCACCTTTGCCATACAAGCAATCATCCTTAGGAGAATGAAATCAAGTATGCTATAAGTAGATGTGTTATACTGTCATTGTTTTAATAAGACTATACAAATCAGCACTTAAACCAGCAAGAAGACAGTAATTGTTTCTCCACCTTTTCGAGGCAACCAAATAATTCTATCTTGGGCCTTTTTTTTTGCCAAAGTTTATTCTTGTATGTTCCCAGCAAATCAAAACCATCAGCAATACATTTTCCCAGTCCTGTCCATTTTCTTCTGTTTTTTCTGATCTTAATGAATTGTCATCAGTTAGTTCCTCTAGGTCAGGAATGCATAACCTTGTTGAGAGCTGCTTAGACCCTTCTGACTCTTTTGAATGTTTCCTTCTTAGCATACACTTGTGCAGTAATAGCACAGAAGAAATCAAATTACTACTGGTTGCATGGAATTAAATTCCTCAGGCCACAGAACCCTTGTTCTAGTTCTGCTTATGGCTCATAGCTTTGCCTGGGCTAGGTTACTCAAGAGAAAAGACTTTACTTTCAGAAAAGCATCATAAAGATCCAAGTCTTCTGTGTTACTATCGTCCAGATTCTCTTCCCTTCACAGGGTGTTTAGAACTGCACTGGGGAGTATTATGATATTGGAGCCATTTCACAAATGCACATGGAGTATGTTCAGCCAAAATATGGTACCCTTTAAGAAAAGGCTGATGTACCTCTCTTGTATTTAACACAGTGACAAAGATGAAGTGACTGTTCTGAGACTTCTGTAATCGTTAGTTATTTAATCCTTTTTAGTAGTGCTGTATGTCTGGAAGAATGATCCTGCAAAACAGCAGTTGACTCACCAGTCAGGCACCAATATGCTACAGGATTAGGACAAGTTTGTCAGATGTTGCAGTATGTGTTAAAGAGAGTGTGATGCTATTCAGTTAAGCAATTTGAGTGACTCACTCACTGACCAAATCCTATTACAGGCCCCATAGGGAAACACATTTTAAGGGCATTATAAATTTGACTAGCTATATAACAATAACATAACTTTAATTTTGGTTATAGTTTCATAAAAGAAGGAATGTAGATTACAGTTTGTGGTTTTGTAAGACAGTTTGACATAATGGCACGTTATCAGGGAGGTGCAAGAAATGTAAACTGACATTTTAAGACTCAACATTTCTACAAGAATTACCTTTCTCAGCTTGGTTAGGGGCTTTGGCATTTAGGAATGCAAGTATCGGGTACTCCCTTCATACAGGGATGGGCAGGGGACTCCCCCCACATCCCTTACCTGTCACAGTTGAGATCTTTCAATGTTCAAAGATGGAGGTGTTAACAACAATACAAACATAACAGGGAAAGTATTTTCAAACAAAATCTGTAACTTAATATATTATAAATCTAGTCCAAAAAGAATTAAAAGATTTGTGTGGCCTTTATGCTGAAGAAACAACTATTGGAGCTATTTCCAGGAACTGAGTTCCTAAAAGCTGGAAATGTATCTAGCAATTAGAAAAACGCTGGATTGAATTTTGCAGGGTGAGTGGTTCACTGCAATCTTATTATTAGAATAATATTATTATAAAACTTAGAACAAATCATAATTTAGTCTTTAGAACAACAGGCCCGCAATCTTTGCTGAGTACAAGAGTTTAGAGTTCAGTGCGCTGAAATCACATTTTATACTCCAATGCACTCCTCAGATGGGTAACATCTCTTCATTTGATTTAAGCATCTTCTCATCCTGCGGGCAGAATTTATTTAAAATTTAATATAGAAGTCCATGCTATTTTTTCAACCACAAATAAGTGTTTGATTTCTCCTTTAGTCTCCACAGAGACTTTGAAAGATATAGAGGAATGCTGCTCAACTGGAATGTTTACTTTACTGCAGCTGTGGTATGCGGCCCACTGGTACAAAAAAAGGCAAATAAGCATAATCTCTTTTCCCTAAGCTTTCCCATCATCACCTCTTTTTACAGGGTTTGGCCTATTAACATGTTTCAAATAAGGTTATTTGCTCCTTGCAGTCAATTCATTTTGTAAATATGCAGGAGGTGCAATGTCTTCTCACAAAATTTACACTGTTTACAGAAGAGTTTGATGCAAAGCAAATTTACCAAGGGAAAATGCTAAGAATTGATTTGATATTTTAAAGAGCATTCTCCCTAATCATAAGCATCATGTGCTACATTTATTTTCAGGAAGAAGTGTTTCTTTTCTGTTATACATTAAATTTATTGTGTTATTGATAGATTCTGCAATATCATTGCCTTTAAAGCTAGTGTGTATACCTATACAAGTAGGTTCCAAAATATATGTATGTTATTAGGCTGTTATGGACAGTATCCATGGTTTATGGTTCAAAGTCTTATTAAAATTTGAAGGAAAGATATCTTTTCCCCTCTCTTTTTTTGTCCAGGTAAATAGCAGAAATAACGTAATAGACTTGAGCATATATCTGACTACGGTAATAAAGACATCGTGGGTACCAGATGGAAAATCAGGAGAGATGAAAAGGACAATAAAGATAAACTCAAGAGCACCTAAAGCTGAAGAATTAAACATAAACAACAAGCATATGGAATGAGCATTCTCGTGTGAGTGCTTCTTTTATTCATTTGATTCCGTGGTTAACAGTACTAAAGAGATATCTGTTAAAATTAAGCTTCAGTAGTGTCAATTCAGAATCAGTTCCTGGTTCCTTCTGCATTTCATATCTGGATTTAAGGACAAATTGTTTTGTTCAGATCTAGAATCACTCCCAGTGATTTATACACAGGAAGGGCCTTGTAATCTCTCATCTAATACTACCCTGATTTGGAGATGCCAGGGAGATCTTTCTTGAGGGTTACTGTTTCTTGCACATGGATTTGGAGACAAAGGTAGCAAGGCTTATCCTACCAAAAAATGGGAGAAGGCTTTTTCTTTCCTTCTGAGAATGAAAATAATCCTTTTTGGTGCTTGCTTAAAAGATTTACTTCCTCCTTGGAAGCAAAAATGCAGAAATGCTTTTTTTTTTTTTCATCCTCCTCAACTCTTTTTCTCTCCCTTCCATAAGGAAGGGAGAAAGAAGAAGAGAATTGGTTTAGTAGAAGAAAAATAAGTAGCCATCAGCATTTGCAGAATAAACTTAAATTGTTCCCCAAAAATCATGACCTTCACTTGAACCTCAAATTCAGAGAACAAATGGGTGTTTTGCTATTTTGACAGCTCTCAGGAGCTGTCAGGAGACTATTCTGTCTGAACTTCTGGACCTGTGTGTACAATCCAGCCACATCTGATCCCCAAGGACGTGGTGACACTTAGGTTCACAGCAGCATCTCCTGCAGCTTCATCAGCTTGATTTCAGCAGGAGGGAAACTCAAGTTCAGTGACCAGGCTGGCTCAGTTTCCAGTTTAAGTAGTATGAAGATAAAAACCTGGGACACGTTATAGTGCACATTCACCAGCTGTCTAGACTAAATCAACCACTCACATCAATTATACAACTCCAGCTCAGGTAATTTCTGAGCTACAAATCCTTGGAGGCTTGGAAGGTACACCAGGGCAGTATCACTACATGCTTATCTACTCCCGCTGTCTTCTACAGCTCCCAGTTAATGCTACTGCTAGAGACAGGACACTGGGCTGTTTGAACCTTTGCTTTGAGCCGCTACATCTATTCTTATATTATATTCTTATTTTTATAAGTTAACTAAGGAACCTAAGCTATCGGTATTTTTCCAAGGAGTTTCTTTTTTCCAGTAGAAGAGTGGAATTTCTCTGGGGATCTTTAATGCTATTATAGCCTGATTTTACTTTTTAATGGTAGAGCCTGATTTTGCACAATTTCTAACATTCGCAGTCTCACTGACTCGCTGAAGCTGAAGGTGCTCAGAACTGCTGATATAAGTCCATGTCACAGACTGAAACAAAGAGAGTCTTGCTCAGCTGGTAGGCAGCAGCACATACAGAGGAGACGTGGCAGCTCTCTTCCTCAGTTTGTAAGCCAAGAACTCGATGAAAATCCAGGCCTTTTTGCATCTGTTCACTTCTAAGTTTCTAAAGTTCAGTTGTTCTACTTGTACTTCCCAGTGCCCTGATAAACTATCTGATTTGAACAGTAACTTCTAAGTAACTTCTGAGCAAATGCTACAATAACGTTAACATTAAAATCTATAAATGCTACTGGGGTTAACTGAATTCTGTGGACAGTTGCCAGAAAATGGAAAGTTATGTCATTTGCTTTCCATTCCCCAAGAAAGTTAATTTTTGAAAATAAACTTGTGAGGAATATACTAACAAGCAAATGTAACTGTAATAATAATAGTAATGAGTTTTTAATATCCATTAGAATAAGATGAAGTTAGTAATATTCAGTACTCGATAGTTTCTTACAATTTTGTATTTACTTGAGGTATACAAAGTAAATAGTTTTTTTTTTTAATTTACTGGTCAAGTTTGCAATACAATTTTTAAATCACCTGCACTAAATCTTTTGACATAAGATATCAACCAAAAAAGACATGAGTTTAATTGGGTGTTCCTAGTTCAGACTAAACAGGCCAAAAGTTGTTCAGACTTGTGCATTCCACTGGTGTTGATGTGGTTACATGCATATAATCAAGAAGAAAATTTATCCTATTGACTGAAAGATTAAAGCATGTAAATAGGCAAAGTTAGGCTCTGGTATTCATATTGCATAAGAAAAGAGGAAGATCTAAGCTTTTCATTAGTATTAGACTCCTTCTGCTTTATGCTGACCTAGTTCTAATTATGCTATTTCTAGTATACCAGCTAGAGAAAAGATGTAGTTCTGAACACAGCAAAATCAATAGCAACTGAACTGTTTGTCTTATCAGTCTTGCACATTTTTGATGTCTGTCAACATTGATTTACATATCTGATAATTTTAAATTAAACAAAATCCTACCCACAGTTTTCCTATCCAAATATCATTTACATACTGATAACATTAAACTGTTCTGTCTGTAAAATGCTATGTCCATTTAGCTTTATGCTTTTGGATAGGCATTTAAGTTTTAATATAATCTTTTAAGCATCAGGTGGTGTCTCATACATTTAATTACTACAGTGTCTCTGCACTAAATTTGTTCATTTGGACTGCATTTCTAGAACAAGAGGAGGAAAATCTTCTTCTGAGTTGTGGACCAGTCTTATACCCTGCATATTTGTCTTTGCTATAGAGTTAACTCAACTGGTAATTCCAATGCTGTTTTAGCTTGAATCCCATATATCCCTAAACCCTGAATTCTAGCATTATAGTACTTTAAGGATTTCTGGGGATAATCAGTACAAAATCAGTTGATGCAGGGACTCCGTGAAGCATAGGTAACATCTTGCAGTGTAGCTGATCTTAGTAGTGCTAGGCTGACTCAAGCGCTGGCTGTCATTTCTGTCCCCAGTAGCAATATAGCCACTCTGTACAATGAATGCTCGGACAGTTTAATACTTCTAGGAAACGTTAGATATTTTTTTCATGCAGAGAGAAACCCTACAGCTTGCAATATTCTGTTATCTGGGTTTTTTGAATGTACTGTGCAGTAAGACTGGCCAGGATTCCTGAGGCTCAGAAATTCAGACAAACAGGTACAGTTCTGGGGGGGATAGATAAATAGACAGATATATACATAGATAGATGTGTGTGGGTCTCAAGACGTATGGTAGCTTTAACTCAAGTTTACTTTATGGTGAAGACACTGCCTAAGACATAATAATGCCTCCAGGAACAATGCCTCCACTTACGCAAGCAGTGAACCAAGAGTCTTTGGCAGAGGGTCCTGGGAGACACTAGAAAGTATGACAAGCTGGGGAGAGCTTTCTGATAGCTGTTCCTATATCACATTGTTTAAATGGGAAATCAGTAGACTTCATATTCCAGTCATTTTAAATTACCTATTTGTACTTCAGGCCTGACAACCAAAGCATAGGTTAAAGAGAATTTTGGTTTCTGAACCTTTGGGGTTCACTTACCTCACATTTTCAAGCTTTTCTTGGCAATCTTGAAGGCCAGAAAGGTTCTATACTTTCTTGCTTTTTTGTTTGCTTTTTAATTAAAACTCAAATAACCCATGCAAGTGTTTAATTCCAGAGGATGGAGCTTTATTAAAAAACAAACAAAAAACTGGAAAATATATGATAACAACTTGATTCTGATTCACGTCTCTTAGAGGAATTTGTTTTCTCAAGCACACCAGATTTGAAAAGAATAAGTAAAAAGGTAAAAAAAAAAAAAAAAGAGAGAGAATAGCATCTTCCAAGTGTATTGGCCATGTTTATCTAAAGTGAGACAAAGAAAACTTTTATCCCACTTAACTTGTACTGTTGGATGGCATTTGGACTGGCCTCCTGTGTTTGGCAGCTCATCTTTGAGCCATCTGTTTCAAATTATGCATGCTCAGGGGGCACATTGCAGCGAGGGATACAGTTCCCTCGCTGAACACAAGAAATTTGAATTGGATTTGCAGTCTAGCGATCTGTAAGTGTGGATGTGCAATCATATGTTCAAATAAACTCTGTTTATTTTGGATAAACTGAAGCATTCATACTACTGGAGAAACTTGAGAGAGGATATAAGTGGAGAGCCTTAAGCCATATGCCCTGTCCTGTGTCCCTTGTACAGTGCTCAGGCAGTGCAAAATAAGATAAAACCACCCAATTTCCCCTGCTAGGAAATTTCTCTTTTAAATAGAAAAATTCTCAATGGACTAAGATGATACAGTAACCAGTTTTACACACCATGTTAACAGTGGATTAAAAGGACTGTTGGGTAGAGAAACTGCAATTTGGTTCCCTCAGTTAATGAATCATCTCCAACCCTGTCACAGCGCTAGGGATGAATTGAGTAGTGAATCAGAAGGCTGTAACCAATTCTCCGAGAGCCTCTGTTATGCAAGCAGATCTTGGCCAGGAGAGAGGATTTGATCCATAAACTTTAATGGTGCATTAGGTAAATATTGTATTATTCGTGACATACTGGTGGCACTTACCTTTTTCATATGTTATCTGCTTTGGCCATTTTTCTTTTTAGAATATACTGCTTGTTCCACCCCTCCCTATCCTTCCTTTCCCCAGAACGCTGACTCAATTCCTTTTACCCTTTCAGCCCGCTAGCAGTTTTAGGCATTTCCTTGTCCAGTTTTCAGTGGAACAAGTAACTTCCCTCTCATCAGCAATGTGCGGCTCTGTTGCAATTGTTGAATAACAACGTGCTAGCTGGAGACGGAACAGATTTCTTTACAAGCAGTAGATAGTGACATGAGACCATAATTCTCTTCTCTTCACGGAATACACTGAAACTATGGACTTCAATAACACTTGTGTATGTGAAAAGGAAAGTTGGTTCACGTAATGCAGTGGTGGAAGTGGTATATTTAGAACCAGCCAGGAGACTTGGAGGTTAAATGTAATTTTGTCATATGTTCTCTTTCTTGATGATTGTATTTCCTTTTTATAGGATTTCACATTAGCCAAAACCCCAGATTGTTTGCATTATCAGCAAAGTCTGATTCCTCTAGTAATGAGGGTCAGACTTAAGTAACACAGTTTATAATAAATTGTGAACAGAACTTTGACCAAATGGTAGATCTGATTCAGTGGGATATGCAGGAAGACTCTAATTATGACATCAGGCCGAGTGAGGTGCTTGAAAATATTTCCTACTGTTAGAAGTAACAGATGTTGTTCATTTAATCAAATAATTGTTTGAATTGTGCATTTGAATTTTGTGAAAAATTGTTCAAATTGTGAAATTTGAAATGTGCAATTAACACACCTAAAATTTTAGTAATTTTATATTTTGTAATATAGTGCATCTGCTTGTCTGGACAGGTCTGATCAAAAATTGATTCTTTATACTACATTGCTTACTAAAGTATTAAATTGTGTTACTTTTAAAATTAGCAGTCTCCAAATAGTTACAGGAATTAATGAAAGTTATTCAGCAATGTTATCAAATCTGGGTACCTGAAAGAAAAAAGGTTTTTCAGAGCTCAGTTCTGTGTGACAATGTTGGTAACTCAGTTAATCTTTGAAATAAATCTGTAAATACATGTCTCAATCCTATACTGCTCAGATGACATACATGTAGATTTTTAAACTGTGACTGTAGCAATTCCATATATTGGAGGAAGGGATTTGAAATTAGCAGAATTAGATATTATGTTGCATTTTTTTAAAATAAATTAGGTTTGAATACAATAAACTTTGTGATATCTTCCAGGCCTGTCACAAACTTTTGTTGTTTATAGCTAACAGACATCTTGCTCAGCTCAGAATCCCCAGCTAGAAAGATAAAAGAGACTGAAAAGCAAGTGTAAACAGAAGTCTATATTTATAAATACAACAATATAGATTTTCTTGACCTTGATCTCTACCAGCTACATGGGGGTGTGTGTGTGTGTTTATATATTGTGTGTGTATAGTTTGTATTTTCAAGCAGTGACTTGTACCATCTAGCTAATGGATCTGTTCCATAGTCCTATGCAGGAGACCCACAGCTAATTTCTAGCCTTGGATTTATTCCCTACTCGGAGAATTGGAAATAAAGCAATTTATTTATAGCAACTTATTTATATATTCATTTCACAGTTAACTAAACGGGCCCACTGATGGTTTCCAAGCGTTTTTCTCTTGCTCATCTATATATATGTAATTCACCATCATCGAGAGCTAGCAAAAGGAAAGGAGATAGAAGTTCATTAAATCACGTTTGTAAGTATTTCTCTAACTAAGTTCACTAGGTTAAACTTGATTAACCAGTAACAAATTCTGTCTCTTCAGTAAAGAGGAAGAGACTGACAATCAAGCTTGTTTAAGTTTTGAATGTAATTTGAATACCTTTTGAGTCATGGATATTCTTTTAGGAAGAGCACATCCCCTGTTTCTACAAAACTTATCCAGCTATCTGAACTCATCTAGCTTATCTGGCTTCTGCCTCTGTCTTATACTGAAAACCTTGATGCTTTCTTCCCTTGGTACTTCAGTGGTTTTTTTCATTTTTATACATAGTAACCTGTTTGTCTTAGCAGCACTTCAGGTGTTTTGTCCTAAAGAACATATCCTGCCACGTTTAAACAAATTAAACTGATATGGGAAACTGAAAATCTGGCTGGTTTGATACTGGTACATCCTTATCATTAGTTTGGATCTACTGTAGGTATGTATATAGAGATATATTGATACATTCTTCAATTGCTTCTTAGATTTTTTGTCTCTTATTTAAATTAATCTTAATCCAATAACAGTAGGAATTAACTCAGCTTGTCTTTCAGATTCTGGGATGTGTGTTTTAAGGCTTGAAGACACTTAAATGTAATTTTATTGGTAAACTGAGCAAGTTTGATTGAAAAGCTACCATGAAGCCATTCAAATCCATGATGTAGCTTTCACAGTTGCAGTGATTAGGTATTTTCCTTGGCTGCTTTAATTGCTACTAAAATTCAGTTAAAGAAATTTCTTCTATGGAGGATCACCAGATTTTTGTAGTGATATTTGTTGAATGCAACAAGTGAAGCTAGTGCAGTATCTTTTATTCTTATTACAAATGATGGAAATGAAATGTAAAGTGACACAGAAGTAAGCAAGTCCTTGTCAGCTAATGGTGTTCAAATTCCACTAGTGATGTTTGCATCTGATCAGTCAGGTGCGCACCTCAAATGATCCCATTAGAGGCTGAATTACTGCTGCATTAGTTTTGCAATTTAATCTTTACAAAAAACAAAAAAAAAATCAGGCATTAAATAATTTGATTGTCTCTAAGAGTTTTTCATGTTTCAATTGTGTGTGTGCACCAAATGAACATTGTGAGCGACTCTCTGCACCTTTACTTTGTAGAAATTAGATAAATTCCAGTCTTTTATATTTAACAACAATATTTATTCTATATGTTTCAAATATTATTTTTCCTAAAGGAACATATTTTAGGTGCTATCTAATCAGTCATGTTACACTGCTATTGTTGAGAATACCAAACTGATTTAAAAGAATGAAAAAAGAAAGGTACCATGTGAACACATATTTTAAGTGTATGTCAATACTTCAAGAGTCAAGAAAACAAAGAGAAGGTTTAAGGCAACATTTCTCACTCTTACATGCTGACACCAGTGAGATTATCTGTTTTGAACTCAAAGCAACATTTTGCCTATACTGTTGTGCAATAGTTGACCAAGTAACGGGACAGATTCCTCTCTGCTGCACAGCTGTAAATCAAAAATAACCCCACTAGCAGGTGGTTTCTTGTTCATCGACGTACAGCAGGATTTTGGTTCTGAGAAGGGGGAGTGCAGCAGGAAGAACATCTACAGGGATGCCTGCAGAGTCATGCCATGCTCCTTAAGTCTGCAGAAAGGTAACTCCAATAGCCTGCAGTCTTCCATACACCCTTTTAATATACATGACTGGCACGGATGTAGGCAAGTAGTGCGTTGCTCTCACTTCTCGCTGTATTTGTCAATAATTTTTGGTCTTTTCCATATCAAGAGAGGCATGAAAACACAGTTTAATTAGCTCAGTTTTAAATGTGGCTTAATCACGGCTAGCTAACGTAATCATCTCTATCCTTGTCTACTCTAAGAACAAAATCACCTTTCTAATATGATTAATACATATTAATACATCTTTTCTAATAATAATAATACACCTTTTCTAATATGATCTAATATGATCTAATAATAATAATACACCTTTTCTAATATGATCAATTTTCCACCATTAATAAGGTCTTGACTTACCTCCTCCCTGTCTCTTTGGTAGTCCCAGAACCATCGTCCCAGCGACGTCTTTGTTCCGTCACCAGTGTTCTACCGCTGCTGTTCACGTCTGTGAGAGATGCTGTTGCTGAAAGGAAGTGGAGTATGATTTAAATTTGGGAAAGAGGTTAACTACTAGTGTAAAATTAAAGGTATGACTATTGTGGTGTCCTAAATAAGGATGGTTTTAAACATGTGTTTAACTGATGCCTGAATCATCGCTCAACTCGAGGAACGGGCGCAGGTACTAGGTTTCTGTGATTTCAGAAAGCTAGTTTTTTTGTCTTATGACTAACATCATTGCAGCAATGCTCTTTTATTTTCATAATTTCCAAACTGTTTTGATAGCCTGATGATTGTAATTAGGAAGAGAAGAAAATGAAAGAAAACTCAGAAGATTAAAAATATATAAAAAGAGAAAAAGAAATAAGAGGACGCAAAAGGAGAGGCTCAAGAAGAAACATAATGCTAGTATCAAGAGGTATTGTAATGAAATAAAAATGGCATCACACTGTAAGTAGTCATGAGTTTGTCCTAAAGACAAACCCTTTTATGAGAAGAAAACAATTCAATCGATCGATGATATGCTCTTTTAGCCAATTACTTCCTGTATATTATAATTCTGAAATAAATTAATAATCTTTTTGATGTACAGAGTGAATTAGTTCTGGGTTAGGGGAACGCTGGGAGTTCAGTGTGTAGCTTTTTTATAATATTCTTTACTAACTTAAAAACATAATAGAATTATAATTGCTTTAGAAAGGTGAGTCATGCATTCCCTGGACTTATAGCATAGACAACATGCCTAAGGGAAAAAAAAAAGAGGATAAACTGTTGGCACAAGCCTTTCTGCCTACTACTTTTTAAATGTATTAGTTTGTGACCCCCATTTTGGTAGAATATACAATACATATTACAATATTGATGTGAATAATTTATAACAAAGACTGCTGCTGTTTCAGCAGTGGTATCACTTGCTCTGTTTCTGTCAGAGTACGTATTAGGCTGTACAAGGCTAAATCTCCGGTTGCTATGCCAGTGGGCATCATGTCAAATTAATGCCTATATAAGATTTATCTGATTTTCAAATATGATCTTCAATTAAAAATTAAATCTTATGCGGAAAAACACCACTGTGCTGTGTCATCAATCTAGTTGGTCAACCTGACCAAATCAAGTGGTCAATCTGACCTTTTATATGTCTGTATTTTCTCTAATTCTTCTTGGGCATGAGGTATAGTGCCATAAGAATGGCTCATACAAATTAGCTGGAGAAATATGCTTACAGTCTTAATTAACAGATAAATTTTGTATGTTTTAAAATGGTATAGATTGGTCTGTAGTGCTGCTGCATTTTAAATTCGCCAATACTTCCATCAAACATAATTATTTTGAAGAACGTTATTCAGGTTTTTATTAAGTGTGACATTCCAATGTCTTAGTAAAATTTCAAGATTGCTCTCTCTAATTATCAGAGTCCAAAAATAGTTTTGCCCTTTGGGATTCCGAATACTTGTAATATAAATTACAATGTTTTCCAAAAACAAACTGGTACAAACAGTTATTCCTTACTGTACTCTATTTCTACAGGACATAAGATTGTCAGATGAAGAAAATAAATTCAGATATATTCTGAGGTTTTTCTAAGCTTCAGAAAACACTGTTCAGATATATATATGCATGCAAACATACCTTAGCATGCTATTTTGTGTTTTGCTAACACTGCTACTGCTTTGTACGAATTTGATCATCTCATGACCCATTTTAAAACATCTTCAAGGCAGCTGTAGCTCTGATAGTCTGCAAATGGCCACGAGGAGCCAAGCGCACAGCACAAGAGGAATTAGCAAATTAGTCATTCAAATGCAGTTTTCATAACAATCAGTGTACATACTCCAGTAACTAGATGCCCTGCCTGTAATGCAGACATTACAGGCTTTATGCAAAAGTTAACAGATCTCTGTGGGAAGAGCCTATGAAGAAAATCAGGCTAGATTATCATAATGGTCTCTTGTGGCTGTAAAATGCATCAGTCTATCAATAAGCCTGCATCTGGCAAACTTCCAGCTGCATAGAACGTAAAGAGCACATGAAGCATATCCCGAGATGCATTACTAGTTAGACACATCTGCAGTTGTGATTCCTGAAACAGCTTGTGGTACCTAGTCCAGGGAAGTACTTTGAGATTTTTGATAAAAAATACCCTCTGTCCAAAGGGTCAAACTTTTGTACAATGATCTTCCTCATTTCTCAGAAGGGTTATTTCAATAAGCTAAGTGTGGTAAAATGCTGTATCAGGAGCACAGCTGGTCCTTGGCTTTCTGAAACCTGTGCGATGTAAGGCAATCTCTGCTCACCTGTGAGCCGGTCCCCTTGCATTTCCATCGCTTGATCACAGAATAATAATTCCTTTTATTCAGGATGTTTTGTGTTCATGCTTGTTGTTGTTGCTGTTCTGTCAAGCTCCCTATGGTTTAACCCTTCTGCTATTTAGATCCTTAATTCTGCATTTGTAATACTGGAGCTGCTAATCTGCTTTGCACTGAAATTCCCAAAAGCTGAGTAAGTTGTTTCATGACTAGGTATGCAGGAGGCAGGAGTGAGCCGTTGCTCTAATCAGCCTCTTGATTGTTCATGGGCTGTAATAATGCTTTTCCTAGAACAAGCAGGACGAGTCACACTAAATACCTAAGTGTTGTCCAGGAAAAAATAATGGGCTTCCTGTGTGCCAATCCATGATGTAAACCAAACTATAATAAAGAAAGGCACGGACACTTAAGATACTATTTCTGGGGAGACCAGTGGATCTGTTTAAAAAGTTACTAACTTTACTGAGGCCATTTGGTGAACATAAGAGATGCATAAAACACTGGGGACATTAGTGTCTGATTCTCACTTGTGCAAGGCCTTTCTACACTGTCTTGATATAGCACAGGTTTCAAATTCAAGCAAACTGTATTACAGCAAGTCATTTATGCAGTATCCTGCAACGGGGATTTGCGCTGATACAGTTACGCTATTGCTGTCGTAGCTGCGCTGGTGCAAGCTACATACCCCATCTTTCCTTGCTATGCCAAGAGATTGTTATTGTAAATAATAAATAGATAATAAAATCAAACCTGCTAATGGTTTTGGGTGGGTTCTAGTAGCCCTAGTGGTTCTCCTGGCAGAAAATAATCTGTTATAGGTTACTCATTTCAAAGTAGGAACCCTCTTTTTTGACCCTATGTCAGGAGATAAAATTTCTATTCCAGCCTAGAAGCAGATGGCTATCTCCTTCTGGAAGCTGTCATGCCAGATTCCTATAAATCTACAGTACAACACTTCATTGTCAGCAGGCTGACAACTGTTGTAATTAGAGGCCATGAGATGTCTGAGTCCATGGGCTAGCTGTTTTATCTCAGGTGGTTGGCGGCATCCAGGACAATACTGTCTGCTGGAGACACAGAACACCCAGCAACGACAAAGACCTATCTGAACGCACCAATCCAGTGTTGAATGAATGGGACTCATTATTTTAATAGGCAGAGACCACAAAGATTACCTCAAGTGATCCTCGCGCTCTGACTCTGGACACAGTGCCCACGTACATAATGTCCATGTGTTCTTCAAGACTGCCCATCCATCCCTTAGACGAGCCAAGCACGCTATCCGCATGGCCGGGGTGTGAAGGTTGAAGGTAACCACTTATCAATAACCACCTATCTGGCGCTGCCACGACGGTATCTGAGGCCCTACACAATGCCTGTTAGTTCCCAGCTACCACTGACTAAGCAGCAACCTCAACTCAGTCTGCTGGTGCTGACCAGGAGAGCTCAAAAGAAGTATGAGAAACGCTCTTTGGCTTGCTAGACCACTGTGCTCTTTACAGTCTGAGGGAGCAGGACTAGGGGTTGCCTCCTCTGCCAGGAACCCTGACTGCTGGTATCTCTGCCTAGCCCTGATATCAAGACTCTCAACTTTCCTTTCTCCCTGCCTTTTCCAAGCCCTTCAAACATTTTCCCTTTTCTTTATTTATCTCATTTCTCACTTCAGAACCTCTTCTCCTTGTTGCCATGAAAGTCAGCAGTTTGGCCTCCCAGGCAGTATATGCTTAAGTCTTTCATAGTAAATACCTTATTACCAAAAAAAAAAAAAAAAACCATCAAAACTGTTTTATCTTGCAGTCACAGGAGAAGTCACTTTACTCTGGGAGTTGTCTGCCACCGCCTCAGTATATACTGAAATAACGTGGCCATCCCATTCTGCTCAGAAGGGACAGGGGACATTTAGTCATATTTCAGGTGAAGCTGCCCTGCATGAAGGACTCTGTTGGCAGAGCTGAGCTTCCTTTCAATCTCCAGCCTTCCTGCACAACCTACTCTACAGTCCCTGCCAAACTTTATTCAATAGCCCGGCTGCAACTATGGGTCTAGTCATGGACTAGGTGGGAGACTCAGTACCCAGCATAAGAGAAAGGGCCGACATCTGCCGAGTCTGATAGCCTGCCCACAAAATCCTGCTCACAACAGCCCTCAACAACATCTAACTGCAGAGCCAGGTCCGGTTACTCGTTTTGCATTTTCCTTCCATTTGCAATGACATGCAGTCTGGCATAACTTTTCTTCTCCTAAGAGGCTGTGAGTCTGCTACCAGATCCCTTCTCCTCACCCAGGGAGAGGAGATGGAGAGAAGGGGAAACCAACTGGTGGAGCAAAAGGCACCCACCAGAGTTCATGGCAATTGGTAGAAAATCAACCCCTTCAAATGTCTCCTGAGGGGCTCCCTCCCAAATGCTAACAGGACCAAATATTGCTGTCCCCAGGAGACACAGCTGTGGTTTTACCATCTCCTGGTTTAATTTCCATATATTAATTATTGTGGGATAGCAATTTTCCATGTTTAATCGAAGAAGAAAAAAATCAACCTAGAAAGATAATAGCCTGTGAAATTTTACATAGGAGGAGTTGAGTGGGAGGTGGCGTGGAGGTGTGACAGTGATAAATATGTGAATGGTGTAAATGTTTTTATATCTATACTGTTGTTTGTTTTTTATATTCTTCCTCTCTCTCAGTGTCTGCTTTTTCTTGCTGAAGCTATGACTGAGAAACAGGGGAGTAAAGCAGAGGTTTTGTAAAACCTTTATGAGAGGATGGGTGCGAAGGAGGGAGCCTGCATGTTTCGTGACAGATGAGAAATAGCAGTTAGTCATGACTGCCAGCTGAGGAAAGGCAGGATGCAGAGGTGGGGCACGAGCACTAGGATAAGCATGAAACTGAACTGAAGAGGGAAAAACGCAGAACAGTAGAGAATTAAGAAGAAAGAAAAAACACATATTGTGAAACCTTTCCAATAAACAAGTATGATTCCTGTTTATTTCCTTTTATCAGCCTGAATGTGTATTTCAAGTTTAAATTGATGCCTGATCCATCTTTGCCTAAGTTAAAAAAAAAAGGGGGGAAATGTTTTCCCTCCACCCTCACGGAGTGAGCTATGACTTGGTAGAGCAAAGAGATCAGAAAAGTAGTTCAAACAGGCAGCGTGCGGCCGTGAGCAGGTACCGCAAAAGTAGCCCGTGCTCTCTTGTTCCCTGGCTCTGTTGTGGCAAGGGGAGATTTACTTGGGGGGAGCTGAGCGCCACGAGGGAGAAAAATAGAAAAAAAAATAAATCATGATAAAAGCAGGAAAATAAAAGCGGTGACATGCATATCCCTTTCTGCCATTTTGTACACAGTTGTTTCCCACGGGTTAGGAGAACGCAGGGCAGTTTGCTTTCCACTCCAGCTCGCTCCTCCTTTTCCTTCTGCCTGCATTTTCTCCCCATTTCCTAAGGGTTGTTTGCCCCCTTTTCTGCTTTTCTGTCCTCCATCTAGCCCACTATTCCCTTTATGCTCCACCGAACGCAAACCTTCTCACAGAGAGACGGATATACATGAGCAGCAGTCACCTAAGCGGGTATAGCATCCATATACTCATTTCCTGTGAGCGGAGAGGTCGGGGAGAGGCAACAGGCCCAAATCCAGGCTGACCTTCATTGCTGATGAGCCAGGAAAGGACATGTCAGCTCAGCACGTCCTGTTGGACTCGCGTGCCGTTTCCTCCTGGGCTGTGCTCCCCATCCTGCTGCAATCCCAGACCTGATGCAGCTCCTGCTTGGGACTTCCCCCATCTGTGGGGTCCTGAACCAGAGCCTCGTAACAGTTCAAAGTGCTTGAAGCCCCTGCTGCTAAATATACGGGGCAGAAACAGGGCCAAGAGGGAAGGTAAAAGAAAGGCTAGGAACTGGGAACTGATGGAGACTTCACTGCAGGATATTTACCACTATAAGGCAGGTCCGATCCGAATCAGGCCACAGCTCCGGCTCCGGGTTTTTGTTGCAGCTGCCTAGAGCAGGCTCCGGCTCCGGCGAGTAGGG